CCACCCCACGACCCACCCCGCGACCCACCCCGCGACCCACCTTCAAAACGAGGAGAAACCATCCGGACCCGACAATTGACGTTTACTAAATGGCCTTATGCGTTTGCTAAACTGCCTTGCTCTGTTCGATTCATTCCCTGCGTGCTTTTACTAAACGGCTTCACTTGTCGGGGTGATGATTCTGGGGAGGATTTTCTGCCCTCTACACCCGCGACCCAACAGCGACCCATTTGCGACCCACCCGCGACCGACCCACATTGGTTTGACGAAAAGATCGGCGCCTGCGGCGGATTCGGTGTATAATTTGTAGAACTTTGGCGCCTGCGGCGGGCTTCTCCGAAGTCTCGCAAATTGCCGACGTCCGCGCCGCCCCCCCACTCTTATCCGCATCTGTGGGGTGCTACGTGCAACGAGCCCGCCGCAGGGGTCGATCTTTCCATCCCCGCAGTGTGGGTGGGTCGCGGGTGGGTCGCGGGTGGGTCGCAGGTGGGTCGCGGGTGGGTCGCGGGTGGGTCGCGGGTGGGTCGCGGGCGGGTCGCGGGCGGGTCGCTGGCGGGTCGCGGGTGGGTCGCGGGCGGGTCGCGGGCGGGTCGCGGGCAGGTCGCGGGCCGGGTCGCGGGCCGGGTCGCGAGCGTGTCGTGGTGTGGGTCGCGGGTGGGGCGCGGTTTGGGTCGCGGGGGGGACGACGCCAAATTACAACAACAACAACAACAACAACTACAACAACAACAACAACACTCAACTTATCCTCGTGCGCTATGTTTCCACACGAAGCATGCGACCATCATGATAACTATCGTCATCACGGGGGTCTATTGTTCTATAGCGGGGTCCGTCATTCCCATTTCCAGATTTCCCGCCAAATGAGGTTTTGCAAACATTTCCGAGGAATTACAACATATCCCGCCTCGAGAAACGCATGCCCGCGTCTTGCTCCGCCGATGCGACACCGCCTTTGGGGCCCCAGCCAAGGGTAAAGCACAAGGAAGTATCGAGCGACAGGATTGCCTTGGTGGGGATGGGGGCTGTTGGCGGCGAGGCAAGGACCTGGCCCTGAATAGAAAGGGGGAGCGGCTCGAGCAGAGCCGCTGTTGTTGCTGGGAGCGGCGCCGGTGCTGGAGAGAGTGGGGCGCTAGCCCAGCGTAAAACAAACGAAATTTCGAGCGGGAGCGCTGGTTTTGTTAGGACGGCGGTTGTCGGCGGCGAGGAGGAACACGTGGTTTTGCCGGGCTGCGGGCTGTCGGCGGAGGAACAGCACCGTCCTGAGGAAAGAGGGGGGAATCCTCGAACGGCGCCTATACAAAAGAGAGTAAGGCGCCAAACCAGCGCAAAGCAGTAGGAGGTCTCGGGCGGGAGCACTGGTTTTGTCGGGGCGGCGGCTGTCGGCGGCGAGGAGGAGCACCGCCTCGCGTGCAGTTGGGAGGATCTCGAACGGGAGCGTTGTTGTTGCCGGGGGCGGCGCCGATGAGGGAAAGAGTAGCGCGCCAGTCCAACGTAAAACGAAAGGAAGTCTCGAGCGGTAGCGCTGGTTTGGTTGGGACGGTGGCTTTCAGCGGCGAGCAGGAGCACCGGCCCTGAGTAAAAAAGTAGGAAGTCTCGAGCGGGAGCGTTGTTGCTATTGGGGAGGGTCGCGGGCGGGTCGCGGGCGTGTCGCGGGCGGGTCGCCGGGCGGTCGTTGGGGGGTCGCGGGGGGGTCGCGGGGAGGTCGCGGGGTTGGTCGCGAGTGGGTCGCGGGTGGGTCGCGAGCGGGCCGCGGGGTGGATCGCAGGTGGGTCGCGGGCCTGATCGGTGGGGGGACGACGCCAAACAACAACAACAACAACAACAACAACAACAACAACAACAACAACAACAATAACAATACCAAAAATACTAACAACAATAAGAACCATAACAACAACAACAACAACACCAACAACAACATTAACAACAAACAAGCAAACACAAACGAACAAACAAACAAACACAAACAACAACACCAACAACAACAATAATCCGCATCGCGGAATGAGCCAGTTCAGCCGCGTTTCCAGGGATATGGATTGACCGTTCGGGCCCCTTACTCTGACTGATGTTATAGACGATAGCAGCTTATGTGCAACACTATGTTTGGCTAGAAATCGCATGGATACACATTTCGCGTTTCTTGTGCATGTATGTAACAAACAAGGGCCAGCCACATCTTCTCTGGATAATCGACACAGGTTCGTTTACATTCGAATGGAACACTAAACATGTTTGCATGCACATGTGCGTTGGTGCAGTTGAATGAACAGTTCCCAATTTGCGCGGGAACGCATGCTTTCTCAGGGAAACTCTACAAGCACGTACTGTTGAAGAACAGTTGGTTTTCCACAGTTGGCACAGCCTCATTGGAATGCATACGAACAGCGATGTCAAACCCCGCTTATACATTTGTTGTTGGTGGCAACTGTGTAGCTTCCAGGTTGTTCGTGATGTATTTTCTCACTTCATCAAAATAGCAAGGTCTTCACCATACACAGTTATCTACATATGTCAAAGTTGGTTTAAACGTGACATGTTGCAAGCTTACACTGAATTTTCACATATGGTAAGGGTAACATGCGTTATTAGTTCGAGCCGTTGGAACACAACATATGTTGCGCGGGATCGTTTCAATTCATTTAAACTGAACAGCGCATTCATATGCTGATAGCGAATAATTTTCGATACCATGTTAAGCAATCGTGTTGCAGTTGATGAGTTTCAAATTGGGTCAGACCCGCACGTAGTCACATGGCATGTTGCCAGCTCCTTGCTTTCATGAAGCAAAGCGTAATATTCGTACCGTGGTCAAGTCTTGGACCTTGCCGTAGGATCATACACTTTCACATGTCACTTGAATGTTGGTTGTGCTTCGGTTGGTCAATATGCATGTGGGGAGCAGGTGGGGGGCCTCTTGGGCCGTCCTGGGGCCCTCTCGCGCCGTCTTGGGGCTCTCGCGGGCCGTCTTGGGGCCCTCTTGGCCGCGCCGCGGGTGTCTGAGCGCCGTCGCGGGACCGTTCTGCGCCGTCGACTTGTTTTTTAAGGCCGTCTTGGGCGCGCGCCGCGGGCGGCGGCCCCGAGTGCGCGAACTGGTCGCATTTTACAGCGCGCTGCGTCCTCTGGGGCGCGAGGCGGTCGCATTCTGCAGGGCGCTGTCGTGCACCCTGGGGCCGCCAATTCGATTCGATTCTGGCTTCGCGTCGGCGTAAACGATCCGGCGCATAGTCCGGTTCGAGCCGAGCTTCCGATTCGATGTGGATTGGCTCTGCCCGCGGCCAGAAGACGCGAGCAGCGGTGCTCCCAGGCGGCAGCACCTTGCTGGAACCTTGGCCCTCGAGCAGCCTCCGGCCGCCCCGAGGTGCGGGACAACACGCACGTGGACAACGCGCTGCTGCTGAAGGCGCGCCACGCCGGCTCTGCCGTCCTTCTCCTGGGTTCCCAGACCCCGCTTCCCAGGCATCCAAGATGGGGTCCGAGGTGGAGGATCCAGCCGCATCGCCGATGCATCGCCGAGGCGGCTCCATGTGGAGCCCGATTCTCTCCACGCCGACGGCGCCCATGCTTCGCCAACGTCGCCGATGCATCGGCGATGCGGCGCGATCTTCCGACCCCATCTACTCGGACCCCTAGAAGGCCTCTACTCATGTTGTGCAAAAATTCCGACGGGAAATAATTCGTTATTTTCGGCCTTTGGGGGCCATCGCCGGGCCCCGGGCCCCGGGCCTCTGGGGGGCGTCAAACGTCTCGGGACTCGGGACTGGAAGCCGGACCCGCGGAAGGGGTCGAGACTTTTGGGGGTCAGAGTGAGAACAAAACAAATAACCTCGGGTGTTTAGCTTTCGGGTGTCGCCAAGAGAGGTGCCCCTGGCCCAAGGTGAGTGACGCAGAAGGGCGGGTTCGATTGCGCCGACATTCGCGCGCACGTTGCCCGCATGAGTGAGGTCGCGCCCGAGCGCCCTCGTTTCCAAGTCGAGTGCCGTGCTTGCGGCCCGTGCCACCTTGCGTCGTACCTTTTCGTCGCGGCGTCCCTTGGATGTTCTTGGAGGCCCCAGCGGCCTGCAGAGCACACCTATAGGAGCCCAGGAGGCCAGGGATGGGGCGAGAGGCCTTGGGCCGAGACAGCGCGGCCTCTGGCAACACCTGGCGGTTGAGCGCCCTTTCCTGCCCCCTTCGTTATGTGGTCCTTCATGGGAGCCTCAGAGGGTCCCCGAATCCCTTTCGGTTTGGAGGATTTCGCCGGATTTGGTCGACATCTGGACAACACCTGAACACACTCTGGACGACAGGATGAAGAAGGGCGTTCGAAATCTGGACGAAGTCGAGTCGACATCACGTTTACGTAGCACCCCGCAGATGCGGTTAAGAGTGAAGGGGGGCTGGGGACGTCGACCGTCTGCGAGACTCTGGAGAAGCCCGCCGCAGGCGCCAAAGTTTCACAGATTATGCAACGAGCCCGCCGCAGGCGCCGATTTGTTCGTCAAAGCAATGTGGGTAGGTCGCGGGTGGGTCGCAAATGCGTCGCAAATGGGTCGTAAATGGGTCGCGGCTGGGTCGCGGCTGGGTCGCGGGTGGGTCGCGGGTGGGTCGCGGGGTGGGTCGCTTCTGGGTCGCGGGTGGGCGTGGGGTGGGTCGCGGGTGGTTCGCGGGTGGGTCGCGGGGTGGGTCGCGGGTGGGTCGCGGGTGGGCGGGCGTGTCGCGGGGTGGGTCGCGGGTGCGTCGCAGATTGGGTCGCGGGTGGGTCGTGGGGTGGGTCGCGGGTTGGGTCGTGGGGTGGGTCGCGGGGTGGGTCGCGGGTGGGTCGCGGGTGGGTCGCGAGTGGGGCGAACACAACAAACAAACAACATTGCAACGACGCAACAAGCAGAATCCTCACCACGGATCCCCACTTCAGCCACGCACCCAGGGACAATGAATGACCGCTCGGCCCCCTCACTTGATGATAGGGCCTCGGAGGTCCACAGAGGCCCCCATGAAGGCTCATCCACCATTCTCTCACTCAGACCTCCAGCGCCTGGAAGAAATGACCGACAGCAGTTCCTCCGTAGCCATTTTAGCTCAAGGCTATTTCCACTTTCTGGCGTCCTGTTGTCCCCATCCGGCGTTCCTGGCATGGCAGCAGCTCCGCATGAACGTACGACAGCAGTCCTTCTTGGTACAGCTGGGTTCACCGGTCAAAGTCCCGACGACTTGAAGGAGAACTTGTTCAACATGAACTCAACTGTCGCCTTGCTCTCCGCCCTCCTGATGAGTTTCACGTTCTCCAATGAATTCGTTGCCCTGGACCTTGGAGAGGGCTTTCCGGATCCCATTTGCGCAGGCTGGACTGGATACCAGTCGGAGAGCGGTAACCTTCGGTTCCAAGACGATTGCAGCGAATGTATCAACATTTGGCAGTCTTGCAATACTTGCGCGATCATGGCAGGCATTTTCCAGACTCTCATGCAGATCACCACTATTTGTGCAGGGCTGTCTGTCAGCTACAGCTGCGGTATGATATTTAATTTCTCTTCGCTTCCCAAAGCGAAGATTCCTACATACAATGAGAGGATCGGCTGGAGGGTGTCTGGCGGTCGCATCTTGATGAATCTGGCGTTGGGCACGTTTTTTGCAGCAGTGGCCATCAAGTTCTCGCTCGTGCTCGAGGTCTGGAAGTTTGCAGTCTCCTTTGCAGGCGCGCTTTTGACGTCGCTCTTCTACGTCGTCATCGACTGGCAGGGCCGCGCAGATCTGAGCGCTGTGCTGGCCGAGGCCAGCACCGCCGGCAGCAAAGCCCCGCAGGCAGCGGAAGAGATAGAGGCTCCCACCAGCAGCAGTGATCACGCTGAGCTTTGAGCACGCTTCCCCGATTCTCGGGGGTGGACAGACCTCCTACCCTGACACGTCGATTAGTGAATCGTCCGTTTTCGGTTCTCGAGAGGGCGCCGCGGCCGTTGTTTCCCAGGCTTGCGCCCGCCAGGTTTGGGCCCGAGGTCGTTTTCACTAAACCACGTTTTGCTAAAGGGAGGTCTGTCCACCCCCGAGATTCGGGGTTCCAGACGGGGGGTCCGGCAAAGGAGCAAGTGCTGCTGCACGTGCACTGGCCATGGAGGTGCCGGTCGCGCAGTTTAGCGACTCCAAGGAGGCTTCTAGATTCCTCATCCTGCTCCCACTGGATCGCGTTCCTCCCCACTTCCTTTCTAATGAGATTCTGCCCGTAGGCAGCCTTAGCGACTCCAAGGAGGCTTCTAGATTCCTCATCCTGCTCCCACTGGATCGCGTTCCTCCCCACTTCCTTTCTAATGAGATTCTGCCCGTAGGCAGCTCACGCAACTCACTCCCCTCTTTCACCGACCACCTCCCCTCCTCTCCATGCACGCCACCTAAAGTTGTATTCTTAGGGGGTGATGAGATGTGCATACTCCCTTAATTTGCTGCCAGTCGGCACTTTGGCGGTTCAACGCCACTTTTGTGCTGCTATCTCCAGTCATACACGGCTCCACGCCAAAATGGCCAGCCAGTATGCTTGAGCCAGCCTCGCTAAAAAAACGACAGCAGTTCCTGCTCCTTTCGATCCTGGGATCCTTAGGTGGCCAGGTCATTATCACCAGCACGAAGATCTAAGAGCACCCTCACCTGGTGGAGGCACCTCCCTGTGCTGGTCTTCGTGCCACCGTGCAGGCCTCCAGCGCCCTCCTCTCCCCGGGAGAGGGCGGCGCGGGAACCCGAAGGCGGCCCGTCTCGCCGCGCGGCGCCAAGCTCGGGCCCTGCCCTCGAAGGTCCACGCGGATCTTGGACCCAGAGACCTGGGCGTTGCAGTTGTTTCCACGAAAGGTGTCTTCGTCCGGCCTCGAGCCCTGGGACCATCACAGATCGAAGCAGCTCGAACAGTGCTACAGACTGCTTGGGTCTGTTGCTCTGATCGCGGTTTTCGCAATGTTTCAAGTTGTTGGCAACGTCGGATCTCGGGGAACCTGCGCCGGGCTCGCCTGGCGGCGCCTCCGGCTCCGCCCACCGGCGTGCTGCGCGCGCCAGAGGGGGCCCAGCGCCGATCCGACAGGTCCGCGCGGCTCTTCGACAGGAATGCAATGACGAAACCGATGAGGAAGAGTAGGATTAAGTCGGGCGTGTTCGTCTACAGGAGGAAAAGTAAACAATAGTGAAAGTACACTGGGGACGCTTTTATTTGTATTTTTTATCATTTGTTGTATCTCTTTCCCAACCATCCGCCTCGCCGCACCCGCGCTCACTCACCTCACCTCCCTCGTCCCCTTCTCACACAGCGCAGCACAGCACAGCACTGCTCAGCGCAGCTCAGCTCAGCGCAGCACAGCACAGCTCAGCTCAGGTCAGCACAGCACAGCTCAGCTCGGCACAGCACAGCTCAGCGCGGCCGCTATGCACGACGGTCGTCCAGTGCGTAGCAGGCGTGGCATTTTCTCGACACCGTAGGGGATGCGCAGGGGGTGGTCCCTCACCGCGGCCGCTATGCACGACGGTCGTCCAGGGCATAGCAGGCGTGGCACTTTCTCGACACCATAGGGGGTGCGCAGGGGGTGTCCCCTCACCGCGGCCGCTATGCACGACGACCGTCCAGGGCATAGCAGGCGTGGTATGTTCTCGACACCATAGGGGGTGCGCAGGGGGTGGTCCCTCAGCGCGGCCGCTGTACACGACGGTCGTCCAGGGCATAGCAGGCGTGGCACTTTCTCGACACCATAGGGGGTGCGCAGGGGGTGGTCCCTCAGCGCGGCCGCTATACACGACGGTCGCAGGGTATAGCAGGCGTGGTCGACACCATAGGGGGTGCGCAGGGGGGTGGCGCGGCCGCTATACACGACGGTCGTCCAGGGCATAGCAGGCGTGGCATTTTCTCGACACCATCGCAGGGGGGGGTCCCTACGGTCCAGGGCATAGCAGGCGTGGCATTTTCTCGACACCATATGGGGTGCGCAGGGGATGGTCCCTCACCTCGGCCGCTATACACGACGGTCGTCCAGGGCATAGCAGGCGTGGCACTTTCTCGACACCATAGGGGGTGCGCAGGGGGTGGTCCCTCCACCGCGGCCGCTATGCACGACGGTCGTCCAGGGCATAGCAGGCGTGGTATGTTCTCGACACCATAGGGGGTGCGCAGGGGGTGGTCCCTCACCGCGGCCGCTATGCACGACGGTCGTTCAGGGCATAGCAGGCGTGGCATTTTCTCGACGGTCGTCCAGGGCATAGCAGGCGTGGCATTTTCTCGACACCATAGGGGGTGCGCAGGGGGGGGGTCCCTCACCGCGGCCGCTATGCACGACGGTTGTCCAGGGCATAGCAGGCGTGGCACTTTCTCGACGCCTCAGCGGGTGCGCAGGGGGTGGTCTCTCACCGCGGCCGCTATGCACGACGGTCGTCCAGGGCATAGCAGGCGTGGTATTTTCTCGACACCATAGGGGGTGCGCAGGGGGTGGTCCCTCACCGTGGCCGCTATACACGACGATCGTCCAGGGCATAGCAGGCGTGGCACTTTCTCGACGCCTTAGCGGGTGCGCAGGGGGTGGTCTCTCACCGCGGCCGCTATGCACGACGGTCGTTCAGGGCATAGCAGGCGTGGCATTTTCTCGACGGTCGTCCAGGGCATAGCAGGCGTGGCATTTTCTCGACACCATAGGGGGTGCGCAGGGGGTGGTCCCTCACCGCGACCGCTATGCACGACGGTCGTCCAGGGTATAGCAGGCGTGGCACTTTCTCGACGCCATAGGGGGTGCGCAGGGGGTGGTCCCTCACCGCGGCCTTCTGACTGGCTCGAATCTGTCCTCGATGGAGGATAGAAGGCTAAGAAGAGGGAGGAGGTTCAAGCAATATGGCGTTGGATGACACATAGGGGAACATTCGCGACGAGGGTTCAGAACGCAGAATTGCGCATATACCATAAACGGAAGCAAACACATAAGATTTAATTTAAGTGTATGGGGTTCCTCGGTCGCGTTATTCCCGACCATCCTATTGCGTTGGGTCCTCGTTTTGAAGGGACAGCGCCCCGCGTCCCACCCACTCAGTCCTCCTCCCCCTCTCCTCCTTCCCCTTTTCCCTCCTCCCCCTCCTCCCTCCTCCATGGGTTTCACCCACACAGTACAGCGCTTCGTGGCCCCATAGGGAGATCCCATGGGGAGCGGTACAACATGCGCGTGCCACACCCAGTACACCGCTTCTTGGCCCCAGAGGAACTCCGCCGAAGGCCCAAGGGGGGGGGGTACCACATGCGTCTGCCACACCCATTGCAGCGCTTCGTGGGGGGGGCACATGCGTCTGCCACACCCATTACAGCGTTTCGTGGCTTCATGGGGCGCTCCACGTAAGACCCCAGGGGGAATACCACATGCGTGTGCCACACCCAGTACAACGATTCGTCGCCCCATAGGGAACTCCACCGAAGGCCCCAGAAGGGGGGGGGGGGGGGACCACATGCGTCTGCCACACCCAGTACAGCGCTTCGTGGCCCCATGGGGAGCTCCACCGAAGGCCCCAGAGGGGGGGGGGAACACATGCGTCTGCCACACCCAGTACAGCGTTCGTGGCCCCATAAGGAGCTCCACGTAAGGCCCCCCAAAGAGGGGGGAACGCATGCGTCTGCACACCCAGTGCAGCGCTTCGTGGCCCCATAGGGAACTCCACGTAAGGCCCCAGGGTCCACATGCGTCTGCCACACCCAGTGCAGCGTTTCGTGTCCCCATAGGGAGCTCCACCGAAGGCTCCAGAGGGGGAGGGGGGGGCACATGCGTCTGCCACACCCAGTAAAGCGCTTCGTGGCCCCATAGGGAGCTCCACCGAAGGCTCCAGGGGGGCGGCACCACACCCCGTAGAGCGCTTCGTTGCCCCATAGGGAACTCCACCGAAGGCCCCAAGGGCGTCCACATGCGCCCGCCACACCCAGTGCAGCGTTTCGTGCCCCATAGGGAACCCCACCGGAGGCCTCACTAGGTGTGGCCACATGCGTCCGCCACACCCAGTACACCGTTTCGTGGCCCCTTGAGGAGCTCCACCGAAGCTCCAGAGGGCCGCCCGCATGCGTCCCGCACGCGCAATTTGACACTTTCACCCACCCAGTACAGCGCTTCGTGGCCCCATAGGGAGCTTTACCGAAGCCCCCAGTGGGACCGCCCACCTGCGTCCCAGAAACCCAATTTGGCAGTACCACCCACCCAGTACAGCGCTTCGTGGTCCCATAGGAAGCTCCACCGAAACCCCCAGTGGGGCCGTCCGCATGCGTCCCGCACGCCCAATTTGGTACTTTCACCAATCCAGTATAGTTGTCGTGGCCCCATTAGGAGTTCCACCGAAGCCCCCAGTGGGACTGTCCGCATGCGCCCTGGAAGCCCAATTTGGCATTTTCATCCGCCCAGTACAGCGCTTCGTGGCCCCATACGGAGCTCCACCGAAACCCCCAGTGAGACCGTCCGAGTACGTCCCAGAAACCCAATGTGGCATTTTCACCCACCCAGTAAGAAGTTTCGTTGCCCCATAGGGAGCTCCACCGAAGCCACCGTTCGCATTTGCCCCGGAAACCCAATTTGGCATTTTCATCCGCTCTGTACAGCGCTTCGTGGCCCCATAGGGAGCTCCACCGACGGCCCCAGTGCTACCGCCCGCATGCTTTCCCCCCACCCAGTGCAGCGCTTCGTGGCCCCATAGGGAGCTCACCGAAGAAGATATCCACAATTGCGGTACCCACAGCTGCATATGGTTGGGTCCTTCGCCAGGGTATTGTTTTTCCTATTTTTAATTTTCCGTTCAAGATCCGCCTGCAGGGGAACATGTCCGACCGAAGCTTGGCACGATGACGCCGAGGAGGGAGAGGAGGTGGAGGCAGAGGAGGGGAATAAGCAGGAGGAGGAGGAGGAGGAGGAGGAGGAGAAGGAGGAGGACAATCAGTAAGAGGACGAACAGGCTGAGAATGGAGGCGAGGAGGAGGAAAAGGAGGACGACGAAGAGTTTCACGACAATTGTGACCAGTAAGTCGCAGCGGAGGAGGGAGTTGAGACCTCGGGAAGTTGACGAACACTTAAGATCGCAACCGAACACTACCGTGATGAGTTTCTGTACAGCTGAGAACGACGAACACGACGGCTGACGAATGACGGCAGTGGTCTCCAGCAGAGTTCTCCAGTGGTTTCACTCGATCCCCCGGGGTGTCCAACGATGTTTCCGCAAGGGTCTCCAGAGGAAGCCTCTGAGGCTGTCAGGGGACCAGAGCAGTCCACATGCCTCGAATCTTGGTCATTGGTCCGTCGCCCGACGACGACGAAGAGGACGAGGACGACGACGACAACGACGAGGACGACGACGACGACGAGGACAACGACGACAACGGCGGCGTCGTCGTCGTCGCGGTCGGCACCGTCGGCACCGTCGGCCTTGGAGCGATCGGCGGCGGCCACGGCTCGGGGGAGCGGCGCGGCGGCGGCGGCGGCGCGGCGCGCGACCCGCAGCTCGCCGACGGCATCTGAGCGGCGGCGGGGCCACGACCCGGCCCGCGGCCGCGGGGGGCGCGCGGGCCCTCCGCCGCTGGGGCCTCCAGCGCGCGGCCGCTGGGGCGCGCGGCGGGGTCGAGCCCCAGCGCGCGCGCGCGCGAGCCGCGGACGTCGCCTCGCGCCCGGCCGGCGCCCGCCGGGGGCGCCCCCCCCCCGCGAGAGGCGGGGGGCTTGCTCGGCGGGCGGCGCTGGAGGTGCATGTGCTGACGGGCCGATGGTCCACCGCCGCTGCCAAGAGCGGGGGTGGGAGGGGGGACGGGGAGGTTCTCCTCCTCCTCCTCCGTCCTCCTCCCTCCTCTTCTTCCTCCTCCTCCTCCTCCTCCTCCTCCTCCTCCTCCTCCATTTCCTTTTTGTCGTTTTGGTAGTGGTGGTGGAACATCGGCCCATCATGTGTCTGGGCCTCCGAGATGCGAGCAGATGGGGTCGGAAGATGCCGCCGCATCTCGCCGATGCATCGTCGATGCGGTTCCATGTGGGGCCCGATGCTCTCCACGCCGACGGCGCCGATGCATCACCGACGCCGCCAATGCACCGCCGATGCATCGCCGATGCGGCGCGATCCTCCGACCCCTTCTGCTCCGA